AGAAACATTTACAGAATGACAGCTCCCATCAAGAGGCGGAGCCTCCCTCTGCCCAGCTGCCCCCCCAGTCTTCCAAGAAGGGAAGGAGGAATAACTCTTCCTCTCACCACCACCCCACCCCATCCTTCCACTGTTTTGACCATTTGGTAAACAAACAGGTAGGTGAATTAGCGCTCTTTTGTCTTTGTCTTGGTCTGGGTGTTACTTGTTGCTCTGTTCCTCCTGTTCTTGTCTCTGGAAAGCTTAAACTGAGAAAAGCCGGTAGCTCCTTCTAGGTGGGACTTCAAGAGAGGCCATCTGTTAGCTGGAGTGAGTGAAGTCATAGTCTCGGAGTTGGTGTGCTGGTACTTGGGTGTCTGTGTCATTGTTAATTGTTTCTGTTTACTAACCTCCCCCATTTTCCTGAAAGATGGAGAGAGACATGGCAAGGGCCATCTACCTCTGTTCTATTGCTTTCTGGCCTGCAGCTAGTTACAACTCTTGCAGCGGCAGGAATGGTGGGGAGTTGACTTCCTGCAGTTGATAAACTGTGGGAATGTTGAACAGGGAATCTGGGTTAATTGTTATGGCCAGAAAAATTAACAATGTTCTGTCCCTGTGTGTTGCCCGTCTTATGCTGGTAGATAGGGTGATCCCCACTCCCCCAGCCTTCCTTGAGGGCTGCCCACCTTGACTTCTGACTAAACAGGTTTGGCTTTGTGGCAGGAAGTCACTGCCTTGGGGGCTAAGGTCCCATTATTGAAACACTGTAACCAGACAGGGCTTCTCTGTTCCTTCAAATCCAAGGGTTTCAATTATCTGTCATCATTTAGAGAGGTTGGTTACAAATTTTCAAAGAGACCCACGCTAGGCCAAGAATCAGTCTCTATCAGGAATGAGCTTACTCAAATGTTCAAGCAATACAACTTGTCATGACTATTCTTGGTTGTCAATTTGACTATATATGGAAGTAATTAATACCCAAGAAGCTGTGAGAGAATTTTTTTTCTTGGTTGCATAATTTGAGTGGACAGATTCACCCAAATCCTGATCTTTTGATGTGTTGAGAGTCCACCTGAAATAGTGGCCACACCTTCTGGTGCCTGCCTAGAAACAGGTTGTCTAAAAAGGAATAGAGGGGAAAAAATGATGCAATTTTACTTCAGCTAACATATTAGAAATGAAGGATGAAAAAAAGGCACCCAGGTGCAGAGTATTCAACAGTTCCTGATAAATACTGCAGGTTCTGCCTGGGGTGGGGTGGGGTGGGGAGAAGGACACTGACAGGACACACCTTTAATCCTAGTACCTCAGAGGCAGAGGCAGGTAGATCTTTTGTGAGTTCCAGGCCATCCTGGATCTAGAGCTAGTTCAAGGATATGCAGTCTCGGGGGGGGGGGTGGGGAGGGGGAGATTTGCAAGTTCTGAACTGATTCAAGTCTGAATTTCCTGAATTTAAACACTTTTTTTTTTCATTTTTGAGTTTCTCTGTGTCTTTGGAGGACCTAGCTAGTTCTTGAACACCAGGCTGCCCTTGAACTCACAGAGATCTGCCTGCCTCTGCCTCCTGAGTGCTGGGATTAAAGGCCTGAGCCACCACTGTCCGGCTTAAAATGTAGTCCATGCAAGAAAAGATTTCCCTTGAAACTGGATTTTTTTTTTTTTTTTAAGTTTTTCAAGACAGGGGTTTCTCTAGCTTTGGATCCTGTCTTGGAACTCGCTCTGTAGATCAGGCTGATCTCAAACTCACAGAGATCCACTTGCCTTTGCCTCCCAAGTGTTGGAATTAAAGGTGTGTGTCACCACTGCAGTGAATTTTCACATATTTGTCTGGCTGGTTGATTTGAACCCTAGACAGCTGGTAATCTTGAACTCTGATGTCACTACACACTGTTAGAACTAAAATAGAATAATATATATGGCATGAATTTTTGTTTTGTTTTGCTAAGGAGCAGAAAGTGAGTGTGTAGGGAAAGGGGATTGGTGTGGAAGGAGTTGCAGTTGAGGTGATATGTGGAAACTAGGCATGCAAATTTCTCAAAGAAGTATTAAGAAATTTTTAATGTTGATATTTGCTAAAATAACAGATTGATGACATCATTTGTTAAATTATGAAGAGGAAAATATTTAGGTACAGTAAAATATTGTAGGGAAAGTAGTAACTTTTTTTTTTTTTTGAAAAGTTCTCACTGTGTATCCTAGACTGTCCTTGAACTAAAACTCTTCATGCTTTAGCACACCCAATTCCTAGCCTGTAGGATTAAAGGCGTGAGCTACCAAACCTAGCTAAGGTGTGGCTCAGGAAACCCTTCTGTGGAGATTTGCTTGTGGAGATTGGCCACAGAGTTAATTCACTCTTTCATTCATTTAGAACAATGCTAATTACAGGAGGTCACCTGTTAGGAGTCTGCATCATTAAAAGCAAGCATGAGAGGAAATGGGTTTGGTAGTTAGACTATATTAGGACACTCTTTGAGCCAGCCAGGTTCATTCTTCTTTAGACCAGACAGAGTGATTTACCATACCCTCTGTCTCTGGAGACTTCTAGATCTCTCATCTCCAGCCCTTGCAGATCCCAATCCTGGAGTTGAGCTGATACTATTATATCCCTGCTAAACACTGCTGAGGCCAGAGACAGTTTTTTTTTGGGTGAGTGCACAATTGACAGGAACTATTACCTGTAAATTATTCAGTTTATTTACTTAATTATTAAAAGTTACCTAATTCATTACCAAAATGAGGTTTCTGCTCAGAAGTGACATTTTGCTGTTTGTCATCTTTATTTGTAAATACAATGTGAATTACAGCTACAGATATTTTAGATTTATCCATATGTAATCTTGTGTTGCCCTGATTACTATGCTCAGAGGTACTTAACCTGTTAGTTTTCAAATTTGGTCATTGTCTTAGAGCTTTTCTGTATGTTCTTCATAGATGCAAGAGGTGCTTATACCTCTAAGTTAAGGGTACACATATAGTACATAACATTAGGTACTTTCAAAGGATTGAAAATTACTAGTATTTAGGGATATTTTATGTAAATATCATGTATACAAGCAAAAACTCAAGAGTTAGCAAAGTAAATTATTTTTCAGTATTTTCCTGTTGTAAACTATAGGCAGATATCACAGTGTGAAATAATTCATGATAGTTTATTTACCATCTTTGGCAGGAGTGGCTATTCCTGCTATTGATGTATAAGGTTGGATATACATGTGATTACACTAGAGAAAACTAACCACACTGTTCTGTTCATGAAAGTAGATTCTGGTTAAATTCTGCAGTTATTAAATTATATGTTTCATTTTCATTATTGCTGTGTGCTTGTAAATAATTTTGGAATGAAATGTGTAATGAACAGCAAAAAAAAAAAAAAAAAAAAAAAAAAAAAAAAGCCAAACCATTAGGTAACTAAGGAAGGCAGCATTGGAATGACAATCTATTTTATAGCCTTCAAATGAGTGTTAATTAGTACTGGCTTTGAGGTATACACATAACTACTAAATAAATCTCCATGTGCTACAGGCACTGGAGCTTAAGGTATTTGCACCATATTTGCCTCAATCAAATGAAGATTTTTTTTTTTAATTTGTGTAGATATTCAAAGAGAAGGAATAGATAGTCAAGACTCAAATTGTCATGAGAACCTAATTTATGACTGCAGGATTTGTGATATTTTGTTTGTGCTGTAACCAGGTGTTCCTGAATATCAGAACACACCTTTAATCCCGGCACTGGGAAGCAGAGGCAGACAGATCTCTGAATTCAAGTACATACTGGGCTACACCAGATTGAATCTGTCTTACAAAAGAAACAGAACTCATGACTTTGATCGCAGCACTGGGGATCACACACCTTTAATTCCAGCACTAGGGAGGTGGAGACAGGAGTAATATGGCAGGGTGGAGAAAGAAATATAAGGCAGGAGGAGACAGGAGCTCAGAGCATTCAGTCTGAGGATTCCTAGAAACAGGATCACCCCTTTAGTCTGAGGACTCAGTAGAGGTAAGAACTAGTGGCTGGCAGCTCTGCTTCTCTGATCTTCCAGCATTTACTCTTTATCCGACTCAGGGTTTTTATTATTAGAACCAATTAGAATGAGCACTACAAAGAAAGATTCATCCCATAAACTTAAGCTGGGAATTGTAACTTTGCTAGGCAAACAGGATTCCTTAGAAAGTACCCTAGCATTCAACTGGATGGGCTTTAGGATAGACATTGGAACCTCTGGGCATGACCGTAAAGGATTATTTGGGGCAGGGCCCCTAAAGTTGGGAAGATCCACATTAGATGCTTAGGAGATGATTTCACTATCCCATGGATCGAAGCCTCAAACCTGAAAAAAAGGGAAAGGCTCTGAGCAGTAAGTGTTCCTTGCTTTCGGCTTCCTGCTTTTGGATGCCATGAGGCCAGCTATCCCAAGGCCCTGCCACCATTTCTTTCCCACCATGATGGAAATACCCTTGAATTATGAGTTAACATGAATTCTTAGTCTTGTTAGGTATTTGTAGTAGAAAGGAGACAAGTAACAAATACTGCCTTCACGTGTCAAGCGGTGGGAGTGTGGGATGTGAATGATTGAGAGGTTAAAATCAGAATTCAAAACAAAGCATTTACTAGAAGTAGAGACAAATAGAAAGTTGTCTTCTTGGAACGACAACAAAAGAAGGAGGTATTTAACCTGCAAGTGTCTGTAGAAAGACCACTGGGTGGACATGAATGACTTTGATCACTCCAGGGTCTATTATTTCCCCTAAGCACTGAGAGAGCTGTCTCAGACCTTGACCAAGGTACTGATTTGGAGGATGCAGACGCCATCAGATCAGTCTGTATTTCTGTCAAGAAAGGTGAAACAGGAAAGATCAGCAACTGCAATCCTGTACTTACCTCAACTTTTGGTCATAGAAAAATGAAGCCTGTCTTGCCACAACACAGAGGTGGATCACACCTTGAATGAAATCTGTGCAGTCTCTTGCTTGTCTGGGGTCAAAAATAGCAATTCTGCTTTTCTTGCTTCAGAAAATGGAGTCACACATCTCCCAAGCCTTCCAGGAAGAACTCACCTGCTTCATCTGCCTGAACTGCCTCATAGACCCAGTCACCATAAGCTGTGGCCACAGCTTCTGCCGGGCATGCCTCTTCCTTTTGCAGGAAGACATCGAAGTTCCCGTCCATTGCCCTATGTGTAGGGCACCGTTCTGCCAGACAGACTTCAGAACCAACATTGTTCTGAAGAAGCTAGCGTCCGTTGCCAGACGAGCCAGCCTCTTGAAGTCCCTCAGAGAGGAGCACAGGTGTGCGACCCACAAGGAGACAAAGAGGATGTTCTGTGTGGAGGAGAGGCTCTACCTCTGTCAGCGCTGCTCTGCCTCCCCTGAGCACAGTGCTCACACACACTGTGCCATTGAAACAGCTGCTGAGGGCCAAATGGTAAGTGAGGCTTCTGAGAGAAGGTGAAAGCTGAAGAGGGAGGCTTAGCAGACACATCAAGTTGATTGTGCTGATTATGAGGAAGCCACTGTCTTCAGAATGCTGGCAGAATTACCAGCTAATGAAGGAAGGGTGACTATAAATTTTTTTTTTATTCTTGTTCAGGGTTTCTCTGTAGTTTTGGAGCCTGTCCTGGAACTATCTCTTGTAGACCAGGCTGGCCTTGAACTTAGAGATCTGCCTGCCTCTGCCCCCTGAGTGCTGGGATGAAAGGCGTGCACCACCAACGCCCTGCTGACTATAAATGTCCCTTGGGAGACACAGCCTGTCATTTCTACTTAGTGATACATTATGCCCAGGTCACTGCAAAGGGAAATACTAAATTTATATCTTTTAAAAGTGTCTATGGCTGGAGATTATAAATAATAGTACATTGTAGTCAACTAGCTAGAGAAGCACCTGGGACTCCCAATCTTACCCATATCATCCAGACATTAGTCATAGTTATTAATCACTTCTTTTGAACAAACAAGGTATGCTGTATAATAGTCATTGTTCTGAAATCTAACATTCATCGTTACCAAAAGTGAAAATAAAAAAAAAATACTGTGCACCTTTTACTATCCCTTAGTAATTGTATTTATTGCTCAACAGACTGTCAGCACTGTTTATTACAGTTGATACTCATTGTTTCTTACAGGAGAAACTTCTTAAGCAAATGGTATCTGTATGGGAGAAGATCCAAGAAAATCAGAAGAATCTAGAGGCAATGAATACTATGATAAATCAGTGGCAAGTGAGTATGAGATTCGTGCTTAAAATGTGGTTCTGGCATATATTTTTCAAAAATTTTCATTAATGATTTTTACTACAAGGCATAGGACATGTTACAAGGAAGTCATTGTCTGCTGGCCTCATTCTGAGTGGTGTAAGATACAATTCTGCACGAGGAAAGAATGGTTTGGCTATGTGGCAGGATGTGAGCTGGTAAGGGAACTGCTAACAAACAGTTCAGCACACTGCCTTAGACTATGACTGCACCATGGATTCTAATGACTACTTGCAGAGGTTCATATTTGAGTGAACACATGAATTATCAATCAATAATTTTTTTATTCAGGCATCCCTGCACCTCTTATATAGGTGCAAATGCTTAGGACTCTATTGTCTGTGCAATTAATGGAAAAGAAATACATGAAAGCAAGGAATTTGTATTTTCTGCACAGTGGGGATAGTAAATCCAGTCTGTGTAACACAGTGATAGAGGTCATTTGTCAAATTGAAGCACAGAAGGATGCAATGGTGGAGAATAAAATACCTTTCCAATGTGATTGAGAATGTCCTTTTCCTTCAGGAGTACTTGACCCAGCGGGAAGAAATGATCAGGACAGAGTACAGGACATGGGAACCAGTCCCCCGTAAAGAGGAAGAGCAGCACATCGAAAGTATGAAAAAGGAAGGCCACTGTGTTTGTGAGAAACTTCGGGAAAGGAGAGCCATGATGATCGTGAAAAGCAATGAACTTAAAGAAATGTATCAGCAGCTGATTGCAATGTCCCAGGAACAACACTTGCTCCTGCTGCAGGTGAGCTTGGAGGAGTGCAGGAAGTCTCTATTGTCTGAGACCCACACTATCAATATTGTCTGCATTTCTGCTAGGGGCTTTTCTTCTCAGGGTAATCTGGAGAAACAAAATTTGGTAATCTTGGAAGAAGCAGCATTTTGGGATTGTGTCAATAGATTCCTCAAGGAATATGTCCGAATTTTGCTTTTGTAGCTTGTGTCCTTGAAAGCCCAAATTCGTGGTTGCTGTTTCCCACACTCCATTACCTCTAATAGATGTTGTATACAAGTTTAGAGAAAGCTATTCCTTGTGCTTTTCTGTGTGAGTGTTTTGTTTTTGAGAGGTTTTGGTTTTAGGAGGTTGAGATTCTGAGTTAGGATCCTTAGTCTGTGGTGCATGCTAGCACCAGCTGACAGTAATGAGATCAGGCCTCTAGTCCCGAAATTCTGGAAGTACTGGTATAGGAGGGCACCGTGCACGAGTGACATCGTACTTTGAATGACCCTTAGTTAAAGCATCTCTCTGCACATTGTTTTCAAGCTCTGGGATTGTTACCTTTGCAGACATTTGCTGACATTGTACAAATGCAATGTACAATCAATATCCAAGCACTTCTTGGATTCTACTCAGTCTGATTTCATCAAGAATTCAAATTTTGCTGACCTTTGTTTGCATTATTCTCAGGGATATATAGTCATTGTTCTGAAGGTGTGATTGTGACTGACATTTATTTATCTGTACTTTATAAACAAACACCATATGCCATTTGTTCAGTTTTTCTTGTTTTCTTTGCAGGATTTGGATGACATGTTCCAAAAGTGAGTTTTTCCATCAGTGCAAGACATGGTATCCTGAAATATGATGTAAAATTGACCAAGTTGCCTTAGCAAAGTACAGATATAATATAGCTCATATATAGAAATTCTTCGTTTGTGTGTGCATGAGGTGTTTGCTATTATTTTTTATTTGATGTGTTATATATTCATGTGTGTGGGTGCATGCACAAGTGGCATTGCACGTGTGTTGGGGTCAGAGGACAACTTTTAGGAGACAGTCTTGTCCTTCCATTCTGGGGTCCAAGGGTCAAACTCAAGTTGTCAGGCTTGTATAACCAGGGATTTGTTTCCTGAGACATTTGTCTGAACCTGGAGTGAAGATGTCTTTGGCACCAGGCAGATCAATATTTTCTTCTCCTTGCAGGAATGAGTCACTGCAATTGAGCATGCCCCAGGCTATGAAACCAGAACTCAGTGCCCGACCCATCACTGGACTGACTGAAAAGTTCCAGTCCTTCCTAGGTGAGTATGAATAATGATGAAATGACCAAAGGTACTATTAAACAGTGAGATAACCTTTGCAGCAGAAATGTTTAACCAGAATGTCTAGGTTATCACATTGTAATCTTACTTAATCAGGTATTAATTTTTACAAACAAACAGAAATGAATACCAATATCATGTTGTATGTAATTCTGGCAGAAAAGAGTATCAATTGTTCATTGAGGCATGAGGAATGGCAACTTAAGGACAGTCTAATTCAAATGAAGTGTACCCATTGATGGATATATTTGGTTATTTTCCTTTAAACGTTTTAGCAATTGATCTTATACTAACTACATTACATTCCAATCCCAGTTCCTCCTCCTGTCCTCTCCTCCCACGTCACCCACTCATCCCCCCCCACCTCCCTCTTTGGAGAGGGTAGACAGTCTACTAAGTCTGTCCCATCATCTTGATGAGGCAGGACCAAGGCACCTCTCCACCCCACACACCCCTGTGTCTAGTCTGAGCAAGGTGTCTCCATATAGAATGGGCTTCACTAAGTCAGTTTGTACATTAGTGTTACATCTTGGAGCCCCTGCCAGTGGCCTCATATTGTCCCAGTCCGCACCATTGTCATCTATGCTAAGGGAGTCTGGTTTGGTCTTGTGCAGATTCTACATTTGTCAGACCTGAGGCAGTGATCTGGTACTAGTTTGGGTCAGCTGAATCTGTGGGTTTCCCCATCATGGTCTTGGCTCCTTTGTTCATATTTTTACTACTCTACTCCTTCTTTTTGGTTATTGTCCAGGAGCTTGGTCCATTGGTTAGTCATGGATTTCTGCCTCTGCTTCCATCTATTTCTGCAAGAGGGTTCTAGCTTCCCTGGGGTTATGGATTACAGACTAGATATCTTTTGCTTCATGTCTGGTATTCACTTATGAGTGAGTACTTATCACGTTTAGTTTTCTGGTTTTTGGGTTATCTCCCCCTTCCCGCCCCCCCCAGGATTTTTTTTTCTAGTTATGTCAGTTTGCCTGCAAATTTTAGAATGTCATTTTTTCTTACTGCTGAGTAGTCCTCCATTGCATAACTATATCCTATTTTCTTTATCCATTCTTCAGTTGAGGGGTATCTAGGTTGCTTCCAAGATCTGTCTTATTACACATAATGTTGCTATGAACATAGTTGAGCAAATGTCCTTGTGATGTGATTGTGTCTCCTTTGGGTATTGCAGTGGTATTGCAGAGTCTTGAGGTAGGTTGATCCCTAATTTCTGAGCACTGCCATTGAGTTTGGGGACCTTCTGGTCAACAACCTTCTGGTAGTTAGTTCCTTGCCAGTGAAGAATAAATAGCAAGACCCTGTCTAAAAAGGGGTTGAAAAAAGAAAATCTTAAAGTAACTAAATAAAGCATGTATCATGAGCAATGAATATAAAAGTGAAGGCAGTTTCTGAGTCTCCTCGTAGATCTAAATGTCAACTGAACCTCCCAGGGAGTGAGTATCAGGAACCAGAAGTTAAAGGAGGACAATTACTACCAGGGACACACTTATAAACATATTTAGCTCTTCCTGTAGTATAAATATGGTTAATTACATGGAAATCACAACACCGATAGAAAAACCATCACTGCTCACATCTCAGGAATGACTTGTTATGTAGACCCACGAGAACAGCTTTTGCTCTGGCCTCACTGCAACACACACATCTTCCCTAATTAAGTCACCTGCCAGAAGTAGGGCCAAGCTCCCTCCTTGACAGCATCTACAAAGTCTAAAACTTCTCATCATGGGGCTGGAGAGGTGGCTCAGTGGTTAAGAGCACTGGCTTAACCACCCAGGTGTGAACCACACAGGATGTTTCACAACCATGTGTAATGATGAGATCTGGTGCCCTCTTCTGGGCTGCAGGGATGCACGCAGACAGAACACTGTATACATGATTAATAAATAAATTAAGGAAAAAATCATCATGCTACTGTTTGTTGTGGGAATCCTTGATTTGTATGTACCAGAATGGCATTTAACCCCTAGTCTTACCTTGTTTATAAAATCCAAGAAGCCTCTAAGACTTGTCTTACCTGAGAAACAAATGTAAATGGTGACTTTAACTAAAATGTTGACTCTTCTTACAGGAAAAGTTCACTTTTGGAAAAAAGCCTCCACTACTTGCAAGACGAATTTATTTAATGTCATGAGACAAATCTGCTTCGGACCTCAACATGAGAATCCATCTGTGGATCTTCTTAGATGCTGTATTTCCTCCTGGGGATCAGAGGGGTACAGCTCAGGGAAATATTATTGGGAGGTGGTAGTGAAGGACTCTTGGGACTGGGCTGTAGGAGTCTCTATAGGTTCCTTTCTTGGTCAGAGAAACCCATGTTTTAAATCTGAGGTTAAACTTCTTGTGTGTGTGAATGAGGGTGATCATTATAATCTCCTCACCACATGGCCAATTATGCATCTCTGTATAGAGAAGCCAGTGGGCCAGGTCGGTGTGCTCCTTGATTGTGATGATAGATGTTTAAGTTTCCTGGATGTTGCCAAGAATTCCCTCATATTTAAGTTTCCTCCTGGATCCATCAGTTTACCTGTCCAGCCTTTCTTCTGCACTGGCAAGACAATATAATAGGAAGCTTATTTCATGTTGTAATAATGTTTATTGCTGTTAAATATATTAAAATAAATATCAATAAATGAAAAATATGGTTGACTGTGTTGCTTCTCATCTTTTCTACTCAGGGAACACTTTCTTAGTGGTTTATCTTGTTTGCTTTTGTTTGTTCAAACTTGTCAGAGTTATCATTAGGACTAAATTTTTAGCCCTGTTCAGTGCTTGATTCCTCTTTAAGTGTGCTGAGGACACTCAGTGGAATTATAGTACAAGAAAAATAGTAGATGGCTGTATATGTGTGTGCATACTTATATATCTCTCCATGTATACATCCAGTTGTATAACATTTTATTATATTATTGGTGCCAGGTAGGAACACAGATGTGCTGGCTATTTTTATTTCGACTTGAAGCAGGCTACAGCCATCTGAGAAAGGGAACCCTCTTTGACAAAATGCCTCTATAACAGTGGATGGTGGGCAAGTATTTTCTTAGTTATGATGGAGTGGACAACCCAATGCTGGCAGGGTTTTCCCTGGGCTGCAGGTGGTGGGCTGTATAAGAAAGCAGGCTGATCATCCATGGGGAATAAGCCAGTAAAGCCGGGTCTCCATTGCCTGTGCTTTCTTTTAGTTTTACGCCCAGGTTCTTGTCCTGGGTGAGTTCTTGTCCTGACGTTGAACAGTGATAATGCAAGTATAAACCAAATAAACCCTTTTCTCCCCAAGTTGTGTTGGTGAAGGTGTTTGAACATAGCTATAGCAGCACTCCAAAGTAAGAATTGACCAGTGTAGAGAGTGGGGTACTGGGGAACATTGTGGGAAGATTGGAAGATCTTGGACTATAAAAGCCTTTGAGTGTTAAGATCCCAGTAACCTGTTCTATAGGACCTTGGAAGGCAAGAAAGGTGACATGCCCCCTCCCCTGGGCTCCACACTAGGGCCCACATTCCTGGAAGCTTTACTGGAGTCTAGAATGGTCCTAGGGATCCCAAGAAACATACCTCCCACCATCAGCTAAATACCTTTAAGTCTGTCCAACAACCTCAGACTGCACCCATCTACTGAGCATCACACAAGGGCCCACATTCCTGGAAGATTTACTGGAATTCAGAATGGTCCTAGGGATCATGTGGCACATTTACACAAGGGAATACTATGTAGAAAAAAACAAAAACAATGGAATCTTGAAATTGCAGGCAAATAGATGGAACTTGAAGACACCATCCTGAGTGAGGTAACCCAGTCACAACAGACAAACATTGTATGGACTCACTCACATATGGTTTTTAGACATAGAGTAAAGGATCACCAGCCTATAATTCACCCCAGTAGAGAAACTAGGATACAAGGAGGAACCTAAGAGATTCATACAAGGTCCCTCACAGAAGGGGAAAGGAACAAGATCTCCTGAGCATATTGGGAGTGGGTGGCAGTGAGTGGAGAGGGAGTTAGGATAAAGAGAATGGGAAGAAAGGAGACCATGTGGGACCAGAAAAATTGAGTCAGGGGACAAATAGAGCAGACCAAGGAAAGAGATACCATAATAGAGGGAGCCATTATAGGTTTGAAGAGAAAACTTACTATAGAGAAATGTGTAGGTCTAGAGACCTACAAGGATGACCCCAACTAACAATCTGAGCAACAGTGGATAGGCTACCTTAAATGCCCTTCCCTGATAATGAGATCGATAACTAACTTATATGCCATCATCATAGAGCCCTCATTTAGTAGCTGATGGAAACAGAAGCAGATACCTACAACTAAACACTGAACCTAACTCCTGCAATCCAGTTGCAGAGAGGGAGGAGTGATAAGAAAAGGGGTTCACACCAGGCTGCAGAAACCCACAGGGACAGCTGACCTGAACATTGGGGAGCTCATGGCCCCACAGACTGATATAGCATTGGACGGACTCAGACCCCTTGAACACGGGTCTCAGTTAGAAGACCTGGGCAGTCTAAGGGACCTCTGACAGTAGAACTAGGATGCATCCCTGGTGCATAAAAGGACCTTGGGAGCACAGTCCCCATGGAGGGACACTCCCTTAGCCTAGAAAGAGGAGGAAGGGCCAAGGCTCTACTCCAGATGACTTGACAGATTTTGATGATCCCTCCTGGAAGGCATCACCCTCCTGTGGAGTGGGTGGGGAATGTGATGTTATCGGGGGACATGGGAGGAAGGGAGGGTGAGGGAACTGGGATTGATATATAAGAAAATTATATATATATATATATATCCCACCAAATATATTAATGAAAGCTTATGCCGGAGAGGTTGTGGAATAAGAGGAACACTTCTCCATTGCTGGTGGGAATGCAAACTTTTACAGTCACTTTGAAAATCAGTAAAGTGGCTTCTCAGAAAATTGGGAATCAATCTACATCAAGAACCAGCATTACTACTCTTGAGCACATACATAAAGTTATTCAATCATACCACAAGAATACATGTTCAATTATGTTCATAGTAGTTCGTAGTAGCCTGAACCTGGAAACAACTTAGATGCCCATCATCTGAAGAATGGATAAAAAAATGTGGCACATATACACAATTGAGTACTACTCAGCTGTAAAATAATTGGGACATAACTTCTGTTAGTTCTTTTGTTTCTTTGTTAATTTTCTGACTGGTTGTCCTGTCAGTGAGAGTGGGGTGCTGAAGTCTCCCACTATGAGTATGCGAGATTTTATGTGAGCTTTGAGTTTTAGTAGCATTTCTTTTACGAATGTGGGTGCCTTTGTATTTGGGACATAGATGTTTAGATTTGAAACTTTGTACTGATGGATTTCTCCTGTAATGAATATGAAATGACCTTCTTCATCTCTTTTGATTGATTTTGGTTTGAAGTCTAACTTGTTAGATATTATGATAGCTACACCTGCTTGCTTTTTGGGTCCATTTGATTGGAAGATCTTTTCCCAACCCTTTACCCTGAGGTAGTGTCTGTCTTCGAAGTTTAGATGTGTCTTTTATATGAAGCAGAAGGATGGATTCTGTCTTTGTATCCATTCTGTTAGCCTGTGTCTTTTTATAGGTGAGTTAAGACCATTAATATTGAGGGAAAGTAAGGACCATTGATTGTTAATTCTTGTTTGTTTTAGATTTGTTGGTGGTATTATGAGTATATTTGGCCCGCTTTTTCTTTTAGGTTCTGGTAAAGTGGGATTATCTATTGCCTATGTCTTTGTGAGTGTAGTTAACTTTCTTGGTTTGGAGTTTTCCTTCCAGAGCTTTCTGTAGGGCTGGATTTTTAAATGTATATTGTGAAAATCTGGCTTTGTCATTGAATATCTTGTTTTCTCCATCTATAGTGATTGAGAGTTTTGCTGGGTGGGTATAGTAGCCTGGATTTGCTACCATGGACTCTTAGTATTTGTAGAACATTTATACAGGACCTTCTTGCCCTTCAGAGTTTCCATGGAGAAGTCAAGTGTAATTTTGCTAGGTCAGCCTTTATATGTTACCTGGCCATTTTCTTTGCTGTTCTTAATAGTCTTTCTTTATTCTGTAAGGTGCTTTGATTATTATGTGGTGACGGGACTTTTTTTGTTTTGTTTTGTTTTGTTTTAGTCCAGTCTATTTGGTGTTCAGTATGCTTCTTGTACTTTTATAGGCATGACCTTCTTCAAATTGGGAACGTTTTCTTCAATGATTTTGTTGAATATGTTTTCTGCACCTTTGAACTGGGTTTCTTCTCCTTCTTCTATGCCTATTATTCTTAGATTTGGCCTTTTCACAGTGTCCCACATTTCCTGGATGTTTTGTGTTAAGGATTTGTTATATTTAAAATTGGTCGATGAATCTATTTCCTCTAGTTAATCTTCAGCACCTGAGATTCTCTCTTCCATCTCTTGTATTCTGTTGGTTGTGCTTGCATCTGTAGCTTCTGATCATTTACCCAGTTTTTCTTTTTCCCAGCATTCCCTCAGTTTGTGTTTTCTTTATTAGCTCTAGTTCTGTTTTCAGGTCTTGAACTGTTTGAATTGTTTCCTTCATTTGTTTGATTTTTTTTTCTTGGCTTTCCTTTCTTTCTTTGAGAGATTTGTTCATTTCTTGCATCTTTGTTTGGTCTTTTCCTCTATTTCTTCCAATTTTTTTGTTTGTTTTTTCTTCCATTTCTTTAAGGGATTTTCTCACATCATCTTTGATGGCTTCTATCATTTTTATGAAGTTACTTTTTAAGTCATTCTTTTCTGCTTCCTCTGCTTTGGTGTGTTCAGGTCTAGTTGGTGTAGAGTCCCTAGATTCAGGTGGTGTCATGCTGGTCTTTCTAATGTTGGGTGTTTTCTTGTATTGCCATCTTACAGTACTCTTAATAAGACAATTTAATACCAGAATAGTGGGTATAACCAGGATATGGCTGTAACACAACTGATAGTGCTGTTTGGGGGTGAATGGTAGAAAGATTTAGGACCTTTGGGTTAAAAAATTCATTGAGTGTTAGGAGCCCAATAACCTGTTCTATAGCTTGGAAGATAAGAATGTTGAGATGATGGAGGCCTGGGTTGTGAATTTTCTGAGAAAAGCAAAGACTATCAGGCCTTTTGTGTGAAGAATCTGTGATGTCTGGTCAACTGTGATTATCCGGAGATCAGAACCACTAAAGTAAAATCTTTGCTTTTCTAGGACAGACAATGGTTGCTGGTCATCTTGGGTTGAAAATCATCTGTGATTATGAAGACACCAGTATCATTGAGATGAAGTCTTCTGGGAAGTGCTTCCTCAGGGTGAACACAACTCAGGCTTGGCAGTGTGAAGTCAGGGGAAGCCTTTGGAGAAGGTTCCACTACAGATACACTTGTTAAAACATTCATTGCTGCTTTATTCATAGTAGCCAGCTATTTGAGACAACTTAGATGTCCCTTAACACATGAATGGATTAAAAAGTGTGGTACATTTACACAATGAAATATTACTCAGACATCAAATAAATGCAACCAGGAAATTTCCATGTAAATGGATGGAACTAGAAAAAAAATCATACTGAGTGAGGTAACCCAGACCCAGAAAGACA